GTGTGTGTGTGTGTGTGTGTGTGTGTGTGTAGACTTGCACACATATACTCAGATCCAGATAGAGTCCAACTATTTTTTTTTACCTTAAGCCCATCCGTTTCCTTTGTCAAAAACCACTCAAGTCTTTGTAACTGGGGCCAGGAGGAGTTGCTGCAGTAAAATGTGATGCTCTGCAAGGCGGATCCGTGTTGGAAGGTTCCAGGTTCGAGTCTGCGACCTTCCAGAGGACACCGGGCACGTGTGTGCCCCATGATCGGGGCTGGCTGGGGCTCGGGTGAATCCCGGTGTCACAATGTTTTTACGGGTGTCATAGACATAAATATACTTTTTCTTTCTTTAAAAAAGAGTTATTTAACTTTATTATTATTACTGTTATTATAATTATTATTGTAACGTGGTTTGGGACATGTGTGCTCACTACAGAGAGACAGTGATGGGAAATGAGAAAGCAAGCCACCAGGGCCCGGGCTCAAATTGAGGTTGGCCCCGTGAGAGTCCAGTGCCACCTGCTGGCCCCTAAGTGTATGTTTTCAAATTTAAAAAATATTTATTTAGTTTTATTTATTTATTTATTTATTTCATTGTGCTATAGGGCACATGCACAGACCAGAAAGAGACAGAGAGAGAGAGAAAGTGAGAAAGGAAGCTGTCAGGTCAGGGACTCGAACCACAGTTGGCCCTGTGGGACCTCCCGTGCCTCAACTACCGCGCCACGTACTGGACCCCCATTCCAAATCTTTACATTTATTCTTCCAATTATGTTCTTTCTTTCTTTTTTTTTTTTTTTTGGAGAGGTTTTCGCGTGCGCTCGCCAGACAGAGAGAGAGACATAGAGACAGAAAGCAAGAAATCACCCTCCAGGGGGGATGGTCAAGCCGCAATCCCTTCTCCTCCATTCTCCTCTTGGGATCTTGGGCACACACGCGCACACACGTGGTGTGAGTTTTAAGCCACCAGGTCCGGGACACGAACCGCGGTCGACCACGTGGGAGTCCAGGGACATAGCCATGACGCTACCTGCTGGTTCCCCCAGTTACGTCCTTCTGATGCGTGCATTTCCGTAAGCCATCCAAGCTTCCCCGGGGAGCCCCCAACCATCCCGAGCTTTCTCCTCTCAGGATAATCGCAAAACCTCAACCGTCCTTGCTGATCCTCTTGAAAACTGCGTTTCTATCCGTTTAAATGCAAGAGAGATCTTTTCCGCTGCTTTGGGAAGATTCTCTTTTTTATTCCCAGGGTCAATTCACTTTCAAGGTAATATTAGGTGGCCACTGTATTTGGGGGAATGTGGTTAACTGATGAGGGAGTTTCTGCTGGGGTTATAGAATCTGATTTTTTTTTTTTTTCAATTTGCTACAGGATGTGTGCCCTCACCAGAGACAGAGAAAAAGAGTGAGAGTCACCTGGGGGGGATGATCACGCCGCAATCCCTTCTCCTCTATTCTCCTCTCTGGATTTGGGCACGCACGCACACCCACCCAGCGTGGTGTCCGGGCAGTCGGGTCTAAGACTCGAACTGCAGTCAGCCAGGTGGGGTCCAGACACCCCAAACCCTGTCGCTATCTGAAATGACGTCATCGCTCCTGAATTCACAGGTCTGCTTTTACTCGGGGACGAACGTCACGTCACATTTATTGTGATGCGGCGGGTGGGTTTCAGGCGCCGTCAGCCCTTGCCCTACCAAGGATTTCAGATAATGACGATGAATCTGACTCTCGAGGACGCAGGGCCGCGGCTCTGTTCGTTTTCTCGGTCCTTCTTTCGAATCCTCGCTCTGAAACAGCAGCAGCTCGCCTGGGATCCTTTCTGCAAGGGCCGAGCTTGCTCTGAGCCCCCCGAGTCTTCAGCGTGTGTTCACCTACTCTCACGGCGCCTTTGACTCCCGGTTTTCAATTAAGCTCACTCAGACGGCCTGAAACGTCCCTGAAGCAAGTCATCCGAAGCGGACAACTGCGCTTCAGAAACGGGAGGGAGGGACAGTTTCCAAGGAAATGACTCAATTCCATCCGCTCACACACAGGCGATAAGACTTTAACTTTCCTCTGTAGGGGGAGGGAAAGCAGGGGCTGGATTCGATTCCAAACTCATTTTCCTACGAAGCTGCAAACCTGCATGGGAGACCAGGGTGGCCTTCCTGAACTACACCCTCTGACACGGGGCTCAGACCTGGGGCAGATGTGTTTTCTTTCTTTTCATTTCTTAGACGCTTTTCATACAGGCTGTGTGCGCTCGCCCAAGAGACAGAGACAGAGAGACAGAAAGTGAGAAATCACCCCCCAGGGGGGATGGCCACACCACAATCCCTTCTCCTCCATTCTCCTCTCGGGGTTTTAGGCATGCACACCTTGTGTGTGTTTCAAGCCACCATGTTGGGTTTTGAACCACAGTGGACCATGTGGGAGTTCAAGACCTTAACCACTACCCCACCTGCTAGCCCCCTGAAGGTTTGTTTTATGACTCGGCTCTTCTAGGTACAGGAGTTCCCCCTTCTCTGTGATTTCTCTGTCCACAGTGTCAGTTATTCGAGGTCAACCACAGCTCAAAAATACTCATGGAAACTTCTGGAACCAGACAATTCATGAGTTCCAAATTGCACACCGTTCTGAGTAGCACGGTGAAAACCTCCCTGTCCTCACTGGACGTCAATCACCCCTTTTCCTGCAGATCCTCACGGTAAACACTGTGTGTCTACTGGTCACTTAGCAACCGCGTTGGTGACCAGATCACAGGAACATAGAGTATGTAGGGTCCCCTGGGAATAGGACGCATTTCCCATTGGAAAGAGGGGGACCATCCCTGCTTTCTCACTTTCCCCCTCCTCTCTTTCTGGCTCTCTCTGGCAAATGCATGCACCTCTAGAAAATTAATGATGGGAGCCGGCAGGTGGTGTAGTGGTTACATCGCTGGACTCCCGCATGGCCACCCACGATTCGAGTGGTTACATTGCTGGACTCCCGCATGGCCACCCACGATTCAAATCCCAGACCTGGATAATTTCCCTGGCTGTCTCCTTATCTCTCTCTGGTGAGTGCACATGCCCAATAGCAACACCTGTGTCCCTCCCACACCCTTCCCTGCCCTGACTCCTGGTTCTACTCCCGATAACAGCTGAGACCTGACGACCGAGAGTGGCCCCTTCGAAGCTAATGGCGTTGGTTAGTTACAAAAGCAAAGACTGCCCCTGAGGTCCACGCAGTTACCTTTGCATTCGCTCGTCATCGGCTGTCATGGAGCCATCGTCACCACAGACAGCTCTCAGGAAGGACCCTGGTGGGCGGTGTCTTCCCTGGTTCCCAGCTGGTGCCTTTGAACCTGCCGGGGCCCCCACGCCCACGCCCACGGAGCAGTTACGGAGCAGGTGTGCCAGCCTCCTCCACAGTCCAGGATGCTCATTGGTGCTTGCTCACCACCCCGGTTTCCTCGTCCTCCTCGGGGGTGTGCACTGGCTGGGACAGCTCTAGGCAGCCCTGGAGCAGGCATGCACTCGTCCGCGAGTTCCTGGCTGTAGAGTTCGGAATCTAAACTCCCAAGCCATTTGCTTCTGGCAAAGCGATGAGAGTGGAGTTCATATTTTCCACTTAAAGACATCGCCTCTCTTCCTCCCAAGCTGGGACACGGGAAGTCAACAAGCCAAGGGCGGGTGCCCGCGTCTCGCAACCCTGTTGGCTGGGGCGTCCACTGACGATTGTTCCATCGTCCTGAACTGAACAATGGAGCCCTGGTGGGGACTCTCTCCGCTTTTGCTCCTGTGTTTTCTGACATACGTGCGAGGTAAGAAGCGCTGGGCTTTCAGGGCGAGCTGTGTGGGCGTGGACTTCTCTCTCGTGGCTTTAAAAATCTCCTGCAAAGAAACCTCTGTGAAGGAAATGGCTTTCATGTGTCAGGAGGGATTAGAAAGGAGACACAGAGAGAGGGCTGGGGGGGAGGAAGAGCAGACAGGTGCCAATTTGGGGTCTGGGAAGCAGATCCGGAAAAGCAGGAAGCGAGCTAAGAGCATTTCGACAGTAGCCGTGCTGTCTGCCTCTGACCCGTGTGTGTCTCGTGCATTTAAAAAGCGCCGACTTTATGGGGTGGTTCACGCACCACTGGGTGGAAATGCCATTCGTGCGTTTCTGATGTCCAAGACCAGTTCTGGCTACTTTTGTACAGTAAAATAGAGTGGGAACATCACTTCATCCTGGGGACAGCTTAGCAAAGACTGGGTGTGCCCGAAGGCTGGGGACATCAATTTAATTTTTTTTTTTTTTAAAGCTCTCCCTATGTGCCAAGGTTAGTTTTTGCAAATTAGCATCAGCTGAATGCTCATGCCAAGAACTTCGACATTAACGAGTGCTCTGTTTTGGTTTGGTTTGGTTTTATTTTTGGTTCAGTTGATTTTGTTGCTGTTCTTTGGGAGACCCAGTTATGGAATTGTAATGCACCTCTGAAGTGTGGGATTTGACCAGCAATCATTATTTCCGGGAGGGGGGGCACTTTGATGTCGGGGCTCCTGAGAATGAAGTCGGCAAGTGGGACCGAAGAGGGAGAGGTGCCAGCTCTGAGATGTGGAGATTTCGTTCCGATGCATCCACGGTGGCGTTTCCTGTTTCTCCTGTTTCAGGGCAGGGCTGTTATTAAGGGACGGGCCCTTGTCCACGGGCGGTGTCAGGGACAGATCCTGGCGGAGAGCGCTCGGTCTCCAGCCCCATCTCTCCTCTGTCTTGTGTTCGATTTTACCCCGTAACGGGTCCCCCAAGTGCACTTAGCAGCTTTTTTTTTTTTTTTTTCCTGTTGTTAGAGAGGTTTTTACTATAGGGCGTGTGCACTCGCCAGAAAGACACAGAGAGACAGAAAGCGAGAAATCACCCTCCAGGGGGGATGGCCACACCACAATCCCTTCTCCTCCATTCTTTTGGGATCTTGGGCACACACGCACATGCGCCCGGCGTGAGTTTAAGCCACCAGGTGCGGGACTCGAACCACGGTCAGCTACATGGGAGTCCATTACGCTAACTGCTGGTCCCAGTAGCCTTTATATGTAGAGAGAACGCTGTCCCGACGTGGGTCCAGGGGCTGAAGTGGTCCACACAGGGCACGGGTGTTCTCTTCTCAGGAACGCCAACGTTTCAGCACAGTTCTTCAGGAAGCCCAACTGCTACCGTGCGTGCTGTCTCAGGGCACGGGTGTTCTCTTCTCAGGAAAGCCAATGTTTAACCACAGTTCTTCAGGAAGCCCAACTGCTACCGTGTGTGCTGTCTTCCTGTCTTCCCTCTTTCTCTTTCTTCATTCTTTTTTCTTTTCTTCTTCTACTTCCTCTTTTTTTTTTGGACAGTTTTTGCTATAGGGTGCATGCGCCCACCAGAGAGACTCAGAGAGAAAAATGAGAAATCACCTCCCAGAGGGGCTGGCCATGTCTCAATCCCTTCTCCTCCATTTTCCTCTCGGGATGTTGGGCACCCATGCACACGCGCCCTGCCAGAGTCTCAGGTCTGGGACTCGAACCATGGCTGACCACATGGGAGTCCAGTGCCTCAATCACTACACCACCTGCTCGTCCTTTCATCCTTCATGAAGTACTGACTGTGCGAGTCATCCAGCCACCCATTCTGTTCCCTGTAAGTGTAGAGGAGCCTCGCTTGTTCAGTCAACAAACTCTCCTTATGCGAGGGTAAAATGAGGAACTGGCCGTGCCAGTGTTTATTGTATGTCAGCCAGTCTAAGCTCCTTCTCTTTCTTTCTTTCTTTCTTTCTTTCTTTCTTTCTTTCTTTCTTTCTTTCTTTCTTTCTTCTTTCTTCTTTCTTCTCTTTCTCTCTTTTAAGGTTTTTGCCACAGGGTGTGTTAGTGCACTGGAGAGAGACAGAGAAAGGCCGAGAGAGGGGAAGTGAGAAATGGAAATGAGAAATCCCCCCTTCCCGAGGGCATGGCCAGGCTGCCATCTGTTCTCCCCCATTCTCCTCTCGGGATTTGAGCGTCTGCACATACGTGCCTGGCTTGATTTCCAAGCTGCCAGGTCTGCAGCTCCATCCATGACTGGCCTTACAGGAATCCATTGCCTTAACAGTCACGACACCCATGGGCCCCTCCTTTTTCGTGTTTAAAGTTTTGTTCTTTCTTTGATGAGACAGAGAGAGAGAGACGGCACCCACCACGAGGGCCCTCACATTGCCACCCACAGATTACGAACGTGTGAGTACATGGCATGTGCGTCTGCAGCTACTAACACGGTTATAGCCACAACCAGTGGAAGCTGATCATGTCACGTGTCCACGCGTTGGCCGTATTCGCTCTCCAACCTGAAGGCCTTCAAAGGAACATGACTGAGAATCACGCCCTCTAAACGCTGGCCGAACCAGCAGTGAAGAATCAGGCGGGGAAAGCCCGAGGCTGGTGTACTGAAAACACAGAAAACGACACCCATCTGCAGCGAGGGCTGGCTTCAATGTCCTTTGTCACATCTGTTCTGCATCATTTCCTCATCAGATGTGAATAGGACATTATGTTCACTGCACAGAACTCTTTCAGTATCCACAGACTAAGAGTCACATGGCAGGGACCAACAGAGGGCATAGTAATTAACACCCTGGCCTCCCACATGGCCGACCATGTTTCGGGCCTTCAACCCGGCAGCTTGAAAATCACAGTGAGTGTGCATGTGTGTGCATGCCCAAAATCTCAAGAGGAGAATGGAAGAGAAGGGACTGCAGCATGGCTATCCCTCATGGTGGGTGATTTCTCACTTTCCCTTTCTATCTCTCTCTGACAAGTATGCATGCCCTAAGGTAAAAGTCTACAAAGGAAGAACTCAGCAGATGGCCTAGTGGTTAAGGTCCTAGACTCCCACATGGCCGACCATAGTTTGAGTCCTGACTTGGTGACTTGCTTTCTCAATTTTCCTCTTTCTCTCTCTGCCTCTCTCTTGTGAGTGTATGAACCCTACAACAAGATAAAAATAATAATAACAATAAATAAAATTACATTTTAAAAAATCTACAAAAAATACACATGGTAAATACATGGGGGTTGCCCTTTAATTGTTCTTAGCAGTTCTGAGTATTTGCTGCTGAACAAATGAAACTCACACAGTGTACCAAGTACTAAACTATGGAGGGCAACCCAGTGGGGATGGTGATTACAGCAGTTGGATTCCACATGAGCAGCTGTGTGGTTCAAGTCCTGGACCAGTGTCTTGGAAGACACACCAGGTGTGCATGCGTGCATGCATGCCCAAAATTCTTAAAGGAGGGAGACATGGAGGGGAAGGGATTGCAGTGTGATCATCTTCCATGGGAGTGCTTCTCCTCTTTCTGTCTTTCCCTCTCTTCGCCTCTCTCCAGAGTGTATGCATTCCATCTGGCAAATTTAAAAACAAATGCAAACCAGGACCAATAGACGATGTGGTGATTGGGGTGCTGGACTCCCACATGAGAGACCATGATTTGAATCCTGGACCTGGTAGATTGCCTACTCCCCAACCCCCCCCGACTTTCCCTGGAGAGTTAAATAAATAAATAAATAAATAAATAAATAAATAAATAAATGATTCTTTTTTTAAAAAAAGCAAACCAAGAAAGTTGATGGAAAATGCATATTATAAGAAAACTATGAATTTCATACTTTTTGCACCAAAATAAAGTCATACTTTAATTCCATTTTCTGTGAACTTCTGAAGTCCTCTAACACCTATTTTTCAATACTGGCTGCATTCACCTTTCACAGGCTGTTTGGCTTATTCCTGAGAACTAGGATACAGTGAGGTTGCGATACTTGCCTAAGGTAGCTAACTGAACCAGGTAGAGCTATAGAACTTTAACCCGTGTCACCCTTGCTTCATTCATCTTAGTTGAGGTTTCCTTCTCTTTTTTCATTAGAGGGGAATGTGCACTCACCTGAGAAAAAGAGAGAGAGGCCCCAGTGGGGTGTGGTCACATTGCAATCCCTTCTCCTCCATTTCTCCATCCCACCAGGATTTGAGGGGCATGCACACACACACATGTGCCTGGCATGCTTTTCAAGCTGCTGAGGTCAGGATTTGAACTGCAGTCGGCCATTTGGAAACCAGCTCCCTGTGCACAGTACTTAAACCTTGCACTCTGGGGCTGACCCAGTTGAGTTCTCCTGACCCCACATTTTTCCTCATGCCTCCACTCCAGCCAACCTTTGATCTAACAACTTTGTAGGCATAAAAAATAGAGTCACCAGTGGATCACTTAACTGCCCATTGCCACTGTGCCCAGCAACAGAGCTGGCAGCATGGAGTGACCCAACCTGTCCAGCAATTCAGGGCAGTGGCTTACCTTCTTTGATGTGTAGGCACCAGCTCAGAGGGATCTGGTGTTGAAAGCTCCACCTTGGTCTCCACCTCTTAACACTTTTAGTGGAGGTGAGTGAGGCGTTGGGGAGCTGGGAAACCTGCATTTTAAGAAGCACCCCAAATTGGCATCAGGCTTTCTTTGAAAAGTGATGACTGAGCACTTTGGCCATCTGGTTGACCTTGGGCTGGGCCTCACAGATCCTGGCCACAGGGAGAAAGTTACTCTGTGGTTTAAGATGCGGTGATGTGGCATCGAATATGTGTAACCCCCCCCCCCATGCCATCTCTACACAGAGAAGATGTAGTCCAGCTATTCTCAGCTGGAAATGACTTTTTTATTTAAAAAAAATAATTATTTACCGTTATCATTATTATTATTATTTAATTTACTATTGGGCATATGCACTCATCAAAGAGAAAAAGAGACAGGCAGAAAGTGAGAAAGCAAGCCACCAGGTCCTGGACTCAAATCACAGTTGA